CCTGGATATGAGGGGCGCCGGTCAACCCAGACGTATAGTGTCAGTTTGAGGAGCCCGATTGGGTCACATTTTTGTGATTGGTTAGATGCTCTAATTATGAACGCCTCAAAAGCAGATGCTTTAATTATGAGATAAAATCGAAAGTCTCATTCTGATTGTGAGCTCAAATGCACCTTGATGAACAGTAAAATTGAAAAAATAGTAAAAGAAATTATGTTTTTTTGCTAAATTTTGACAAATGTTTTGTATGCTTGACAAATTTTAGCACAAAATGACATTCCCGAAAGTTGTGGCAAAAAAACAAAAATTGATAGTCCAAAATATTTTTTAAAACTATTCTTTTTGGAGCATCAAATTTTTTTTGCCATGCCTTCTTTGGATGTGATTTTATTCAGAAACTTTGCGAGCATACAAAATATTTGTCAAAGTTTATCAAAAAAATACTCATTTTTTTACTGTTAAGTATGATGCATTTGAACTCGGGAGCAAATACTCCACGTCCAAATAAAATTCATTTTCCCTGAAGAAAAATTAAGGGGAGTACAGCAATACACAAGAGTAGTAAATTGCAATTCAATTTCCATGTTTTCTGGAGATGGCCCGTCCAGACCATCCATTCCTCGAACGAAATATTCACGGCAAGCTCCACCACCACCCGTACAGAGTACCAGGTCCACGCTCGCTCTCGGGGAGGACGGTGTGTGTGCATGCACTTACTCAAAACCGATGGCGAGGGCGAGGGCGAGGCGAGGGGGAAGACAGACAGACAGCGACCGACGAGGTCAGCCGGAATCATGAGCTCGATCCCTCTCCTGGAGCAAGTACGCCGCGGCGATTTGTGGTTAGCAAAGATTAACGTCGACAGCCACCAATCGAACGCACACGACGCGCGAAGCCAACGGAGGCCAGCACGGAAGGTATCATCGACATTCTTCGACCACATAAGTCTTAACCAAGATCAACTTTAGTTACTCTATTTAATCATAACGCACAGGCAGTCAAACTCTCCCATCCATTCGGGTGTGGACCTTGTCTCGCGCTTCCTAACCACAAGATCTTTTTGCCTCCACCCCCCCAAAACAAAAAATATAATAAAGATGGGAAGATCTTTTGCCCCCATGATGAATTCATGATGAAGGAATATTAATAACAATATGTATAATCGTGCTTAGAATAAGGCGGGGGAAATTAAACAAACGAACTTTGCTTCACATGTTACATTCTACGTGTAATTCTATCTCGGGCTCGCTTCCTTCCTTGTTCGGCTCGTCATCGGGAGGGAGATGGGCCCGGGCCGTGGCCGTGGCTCAGGAGCACTCGGCCCAGCCCTCCTCGGCGGGGGCGGGGGCGGGGGCCCTGACCGCGGTGCGCGCCATCCACGACGCCACCGTGACCACCAGCCTCGCCGGCACGTGCGAGCTTGCCTCCAGCCGGCGGAGCAGCGCGGCCTCCGCGCAGCCGGATCCGGCGACCTCCGACCAGAGCGCGGCGGCCATCGCGACGCGGAGCGGGACGCGGGAGGCGGAGACGCCACGGCCTAGCGCCCGGAGCGCGCCCGCGGCCCTGGCCGCCCGCCGGCGTGCCGTTCCCGCCGCGAGGCCCATCCGCTTGGCCCACCCCTCGAGGACGACCTCCGCCCGCGCTCGCCGGTGCTTGCACCCGGCCCTCCTCCTCCCCGCCGCCCGCGTCGCCGCGGAGGCGGCCGCGCACGAGTCGGCGGTGGACACGCAGGAGGAGCTGGAGGACGACTCCGAGCCCGAGCCCGAGCCCGCGGATCCGGCGTCCTCGTCCGCGGCCGCGTGGACGAGGCGGCGGCGCAGGTGCCTGGAGGCGAGGAAGTTGGCGCCGTGCACCTTGGCGTCGCAGGGCACGCAGAGGAACGCCGAGTCCGCCGCGCAGTGCACCGCCGCGACGCCCCCGCACAGCTCGCACCCCGCGATCGCGCCCTCGCACCTGTCGCCCGCCATTACGAACAACAATTTTCTCTTCTCGGTCCTCCGCCTGCAGCCTCTAGGCGGGGGGTGGATGGATCGCTCGCGGCTATGAAACCAAGCCCGCCGGAGCTAGCGTGGCCCGCGCGTTCCGGGAAGGAGGAAGCCAGCGGCGACCGCGAGTCGGAGAGGGAGGACGGAAGACCTGTTCTCTGCGCGGTGGTCGGGAAACCGCGGCGTGGGGGAGGAGGTGAGGTGAGATGGGAGAGATGGGTTTGGACGGACTTTGGAGTCGGCAGGCAGGTCGGGTGGAGGATATTTAAAGAGCCCCCCTGGCCTGGGATGGAGACCAGTGGCTCCTAGCGGGGAAGCGTAGTCCTGCTCCTGCTCACCGGGGCCGTGCGATTGATGAATCGGCGGGCCGTGGAGAAAAAGAATGTGGAGCGTGCGGTTTTCCGTTTGGGAGTGTGTGGACGGCGGGGGTCGGGGTGTTGGGTGGGGCTAGATCTTATTTGTGGCTGACGTTCCCCGCCGTGTTGTACACCCAGATATTTTCCGCCGATGCAAGTGGGCACTATTCTGGTAGAGAATATGGGGGCTAGCTGGCGGCCGGTGCCGTTGCCGCCATAAATGCAACTCAACGGAGCCGCTTGATCTGAGATGGAGGGTCAGGATTTGATCAGTCCTCTACCGTAGGGATTAGGACGTAGCCTGTCGTCCTGTTCTATTGGATCATAAATCCGGGGGCCAGGGTCGGAGCACTGGACATACGCGCAATTATGGGACTTATGGGATGTTTTCTGGTAACCTTGTGAAACGTAGACAATTGCCCTTCGGATCGCAGATCCAGCGGCCCTGCTGCTCCGGGAACACCAAATGTGTGCTCTTTACACCCCCTGTGGTAGCTTGCTGACCTTATCTTAGTCGGTTATCATTTTAGCCTTGGTGGTCATTGCCATCGAGTCCCCATCGCTCCTCGTCCATCATCTCTCCTTCTTCCTCCTAGCTCCTTACGCTCCCCTCCCCATCCCGCTCATTGCGTCCAATGGACATGAATTAGGGTGTCACACATGTCTGTATGGCAGATTCAAAGTTTTGAGTACAGCGTAGACACACATGTGTTCATCATTAATGAGTTTAGTTTCACTTATTGAAAGAGTCAGATACAATCACACAACAACTACATGTGAGTCGAGCGGGGGAGCTACAAGATTGACGAAATCATCAACTATTAGCGAAAATGTCACCTTAGTGAAAGATATAATCCACCGCAACACATGATACTTCAAAATGTGTTTTTTTTTAAAGGTTCAAACTGTGATTTAATTTAATTCATGTTGAGTTGAGGTATAACCACACGGTGGATGTAGTATCTATGGCCCATGATGTATTGTCATACCATATACTCCCTTCGTCCGAAAATACTTGTCATCAAAATAGATAAAAAAAGATGTATTTAGAACTAAAATATATCTAGATACATCTTCTTTTACCCATTTTGATGACAAGTATTTCCAGACGAAGGGAGTATCATGTAAGTTGATAAATTTGGTTAGAATGCTTGAACTCGACACACCGTTCAGGCCCTACGATGGTAACTCAACCGCTAAAACACTATTCTATTTTCCTATAGTTGAAGCTCGTACTTGCCAACGACATGGCATATACTTCATGTTTCTCTAGCCTATCAACTCTCACATCCGTTCTTGTCACAACCATTCTATCGTAAAAAAGAAATAGCACTTGTAATTGCCACTTGTGATCAAATCCTATCACTCAGGTGTTGTTACCATGGGACACTTGGAGTATTCTAAGGCCTCTTGTTTGATGTGATGTGAAGAGTATAATATGGCTTTGATAAGCGGCCACGGTTAAAGGACACATAAAAACATATGTGTAGCTTGTGGCACAATCAAATGGCTACGGGAGAGGCAAAGTGGGCCATTGGTTTTGGTGGCACGAACTAGTCGAGCGATCCATGTCCACAAAACCTTAGCCCCACTCGGAGAGTTTATTATTCTCATTCTGGAAGGAGAACTCACAGATTACTTTTTGGTTGCTTCGTTTGCTATGTATCCTATTTGGGGTTGGATTGAAAATATATAGATATGTATGATGAGATGTGATGTTCTCTTTATTTCGTTTGGGCCATTTATTAATTTGAATTTGAATGGTGTAAAAACATGAATTTTAATATATATTTGAATTGGGCCTACTTGAATTCTCAAGTTTTGAATTAAATAATAATATATGTTCAATTGGAGTTTGTATGCAAACTTATGATGAATCGGCGAAATATTTTTTGTTTAGTGAATTAAGTTTTAACGGATGGGGTACTTGACCCAAAGTATAATTACAAAAAGGGGGAACTAAGGATGAGAAACAGGATGGGTAACTAAGATATGAGGTATGTGGTAGAGATGCCCCAAGGCTTCTTGATTTGGTGTGGAGAATATAATACGGCTTTGATAAACGGACAGGGTTAAACGACCCAAGAAGACATGGAAGCATACGGAGTGTGTAGTTTGTGGCAGAATCAACGCGAGCCGTTGGTTTTGGTGGCAGAAACTCGTCGAGCGATCCATGTCCACAAAACCTAGTCCCACCCAAAGAGTTTAATATTCTCATTCTAGAAGTCTAACTCATACACTGCCTTGTGTTGCTATGTATCCTCTTTGGGGTTGGATCGGAAAAATACAATAGATATGTATGATGAGACATGATATTCTCTCCCAGCCAAAAGAAGAGAAAAAGATATGATATTCTCTCTCCTGCATGGGGTCATGGGTGATGGAATCTTGCTTGAATTATTGCTTGAGAAATGTTATCCACTCTCAAATCGTTCTTCTCAAGAACAAATATTTCTTCTTTATTTGGTCATGTATGGTTATCAGTCTAGTTCCTCCTTTTATCATGCTTTTTTCTTGGACATATCCTGACGGATTGGTCCATTTGGGTGCTGATCACTTTCCTTTTTAGTGCTGCAGATAGGCTTGATGCACGTAATCCAGCTGCCACATGGCCACATGGGGACCAACTTACACAAAAGGGCCTTGTATATATTGCAAAGCAACCATTTAGTCGAAATTAGAACTTCAAACGAAAACCTCAATTGATTTTTTTTTAAAAGAGGACATCCCCGGCCTCTGCATCAAAAAGATGCATACGGCCACCTTTATTAGCAAGTAAAAAGGTTCAACAATAATCTTAAAGTCTCAAACAAAAGCTGCTCACAAAGAGCTAAGAAATCAAAATAAAAGCTACAACCGGCTGGCAAACTGATGTGAGCCATGCATAGTTAACTGGTGATCTAGTAGCTTTGTTTTTTGGCGGGCAAACTGGTGATCTAGTTTTTTTTTTTGGCGGGCAAACTGGTGATCTAGCTTTTTTTTGGCGGGCAAACTGGTGATCTAGCTAGTGACCACGCTCAGCTGATGGCATCCACTGATTAATTAACAGGCTTGTCGTTAGAAAGATCTTAGCTAGTGGATGATTTCAACAGGTGACTACATACGGAGCAAAAAGAGTGAATCTACATTCTAAAACATGTCTACATACATCCGTATGTTGTAGTCCATTTGAGATGGCTAGAAAGACAATTATTTCGGAACGGAGGGAGTAGTTTAGTTTATCATGCATGCTATGGTTGCGTGCCTTGGCAAGTCTACTCCACGCCGCGGCGATGCACGCCATGAAATATCTGGGCCGAAGAGGTGACACCATGCCACGGCCCAGACCAGGCAGTCAGTATACTATACTACTCCGATTAGGCGCGGATGAAGTCGTTGTTAAAGATGCGCTCGAGTGGACTCGGCGTGTGGTCGGTAACCTCGGGCTAATCTCCGTCGGGCAGCTGACAGCCATGCGATTTAAGCAGCACTAGTATATGGCGAGGCGTGTCGTGGCGTGGTCGTAGGGGCTTCGGAGAAGCTTGGTTAATAAAGATGCGAAGGAAACGCGTGGTGCGTGGTTCTATTCAGAGCTGTGGTTATGCAAGTGGCTGCAGATCATGCGCAAAAAAACAGAAGAAAAAAGTGGCTGCGGATCAAAAGCTAGCACCGGAGGTCCACGGACAGGATCTCTCTCTCTCTCAGGAAATGTGTCTGAATGATAACAAAATACTACCTCTGTAAACTAATATAAGAACGTTTAGATCACTATTTTAGTATTCTAAACACTCTTATATTAGTTTACGGAGGGAGTAAGATTCTTGGAGATGCTGAGGAGCTAGCCAAGTGGAGCTATAGCATATGTGAATGCCTGATCAGCAGTTGACTGCTTTCTGCATACACAAAATTAAGAAGAAAACAAATGCCGGAGACCGGCAAGGCCTTGTTCGTTTAATCCTCCTCCCAAGGGGATTGGAGTGGATTGGAGAGGAATTTGGCTTGTAGGGGATCTAATCCCCCTCAATCCCTGCCAATCCCCCTCACAAACCACCTCAACCGAACAAGGCCCAAAGGTGTTTGCTTCCCGGATGTGTACAGCCATACATCCTTCGCTCGCGGTATACTCTTCGTCGCATGGACCAACGGCGTCGCACGACCAGGCTTGTGCCGGCCGTTGCGCGCTGGGAGCTGGCCACCGGACGCGTGGACGGCCTCAGGGACGCCTCCACCGTACGCAGTACGTGCCACGCGTTCACGGTCACCACGTGCATGCGTACCGCGTAAACAGTACACGGACGGACGATCAGTACACGCGCGCGCTCTCCGGACCGCCCAACCCGGCGACTCGCCCACGCCAAGCAAAGCAAACACCGGGCCGGCAGCCAACCGTTCCGACGCGATCACCGCGCCCACCGCGCGCCCATCGGCCGGATCGCGTCGCGCCCTCCTGCGTTCCTGTGGCCGCGGCGCGTCACCCAGAAGCCGACGCGGGCGGCGTTGACAACATGTGGTGATCCGTGGCCCGGACGCCCCGGTCGATCGGGAAATATCTCGGGATGGGCGGGGGAAATGGCCGCGCTGCCCTCGGCGCCTGCGGCCGCGCGCGCGAGGAGAGGGGGCAGGAAGGTGACTCGGGGGATCGCCACT